AAATATGAAAAGTAATGACCAGAAGAAGAATGTTACAGCTCATTATAGTTGTTGGATAGGACTTTTAACAGCATGCTTCTCAGATCGTTTCCTTTGGGCATGTACTTCATCTCTGCTTAAAGCTATTGATGACATCAAGAATAGTTTCCTTGCACATCTCAGAACAAGATGACAATCCTTGGCTTCTGGTTTTTTAAATCAAGCCAACTCAAAACTAAGTTCTGAAATCACTCTGTCTGGGATGCCGTCTTATTACCAGGGTTGCTTGGACCTCTTGGACTGCCTAGGCAAGAGACCCTTCCCTCTGTGGGCACTCACTTTACATCTCCATCAAAGAGGACTGTGTTTCCCCTTAGAGTGGAACCTTTCTGTGGATGTGATTTTTCTAATGAGGTCATGCTACAATATTTATGCCATACAGATTTGTTTTATTTGTGACTCTGAAAATGAACATCTTTGTGGCAGTTTACTATTAAAAAATTTAAATAATGTATTTTCTTGGTAAATCAGGATCTGATTCTAGTATATCTCCCTCTTCCTTTCCCTTTCTTTCCTCTTAAAAGCTTCACTGCATTACCACTCAAAGATGAACAAAGGAGATGAAAGTAAAATAATTTTTTTCAGCTACTAGCCAATTGTATACATTCTTGAAAGGAAGAGGAAGTAGATTAAACTAACATAAACCTAAAATACTCTTACAGGGACTTCCCTGGTGGTCCAGTGGTTAAGACTTCACACTCCCAGAGCAGGGGGCTGGGGTTCAACCCCTGGTCGGGGAACTAGATCCCGCGTGCCGCAACGAAGACCCGGTGCAGCCAAAGAAATAAACAAAAAAATGTTAAAAAAAAAACCAAAAAACCTCTTACATTTTGTTTATGGATAACTAAGAATTGGTCACATTTTGTTGATTTATAAAGCAGAAATCAGAAAAGAAATGTGAAAATAAAATGAATATAGATGAGGGAGATTAAGAGGTACAAACTTCGTTACAAAATAGATGAATCATGGGGATGAAATGTACAGCAAGGGGAATGTAGTCAATAATACTGTAAAATCTTTGTATGGTGACAGATGGTAACTAGATTAATCATGGTGATTATTTTGTAACGCATAGAAATACCGAATCACTATATTGTGCACCAGGAACTAACCTAGTGTGGTAGGTCATTTATACTGCAACAAACAAACACACTCAGAAAAAGAGATCAGATTTGCTGTTACCAGAGCGGTGGGTGGGGGGAGGAAGAATTGAATGAAGGCAGTCAAAAGGTGCACACTCCCAGTCATAAGATAAGTAACTACTAGAGATACACGGTAGAGTAGGATAAATAGCATTCATGCCACTGTATGTTACATGTGAGAGTTGTTAAGAGAGTAAAGCCTGAGTGCTCATCACAAGGAAAAATGTGTTTTCTGTTTCTTTAATTTTGTATCTATATGAGATGATGGCTGTTCACTAAACATATTGAGGTCATCATTTCATGATGTAAGTTAAATCATTATGCTGTACACCCTAAACTTATACAGTGCTGTATGTCAATTATATCTCAGTAAAACTGGAAGAAGAAGAAAAATGAATATAGAGTAACTGCCTTATGAACCATGGAAACATAATGTAGGGAGAGAATACCCAAGGTAATTTAATTCAACTAAAACCCTACTGCACCTGAATGAAAAATCAGGAACTTTTTTCTCTTTAATTTTGAATCCTTATAATAAAGTAAAAGAACATCAATCTTCATATCACGTAGTAAAGCAAGCTTTTATGTTGGTTGAGTGTGTCATGTTTGTTAATTAATTTGAACACATGTAACCTGCAGGTGAAAATGCTTATAGGGACCTGGTGGGGTTATCTGAAGGAGTACAAAACAGTTGTTTAATAGTTCATATTCATTTAAAATACAGTTTATACATGAGTAGGGACAGAAAAGAGTAAGCCTTCTTTGGTTGATAAAAGAGGAATACTTTGGTAATAAGAACACTAAATTTGTTTGAAAGAAATTAAAGATATGAATATTCCTGAGAAGTTTTTTGGAGTGGGAGAGGAAAGGAGATAGCATTTTTAGAATGAGAGTATAAAGTAATACAATTTCCTGGAGAATTTATCTTAGATGAGTAGAGGGTGCCCACATTCATCCCCTACTGAGAAATTAGGAGAAGTAAGTAACTGAAAATCCTTCTGTTTCTTACAAGGAAAATGTAATGATGGTGACTTCTGAAAGTGAGAGTTGGGATTAGGTCACTTTAAAATGCTGCTCTGTGCATTTCTTTGTTCTTCCATTTTCTGTAAGCAAGTGTAATGTTTAAGAATCAGGAAGTCATTGACAGTAGGTGAAGAGTTAAATAGCTGATGTGTATCATGAACCCATTGTTGTTTTCAAATTTAAATGTTGGTCTCTTTTGACATATGTTAATATGGAAAAGTGTAAAAAACAAAAAACTTACAGACTTTCATAGTTGTTTTATCTCTGTTAGATTTACCTGTGATGTTTGTTTTCTTTTATATGAGGCTTTGTACAGTCTGAATATATTCTACCAACCAAGAAATATATTTTAGGAATAAAGAAATAAAGCATTCTGGGAATTATTTTTAAAATAAAATGTAATGATAAATGTTTTAGCTAGAGTAGTTTGTCCATTTCTTTTCTGTAATGCTTTTTAGGTTAATGAGAAGCTGCTCGATTATTCTATTTCATATATCACACATTTTCTTCCCCTGAAATGTTTGACAGTTCCAGCAAGAAGCAGCTGCTAATTTTAAGCAGGAAACCTAAACAGCTACCTTTCCAACAAACTCTGTAATAGGCATCCTGCACAATTTAAAGAGCATAAGAATTTCAAAGAATAAGCAAGTTATTCTGTTTTATAGTCTATTTAGAAAAACAGAGCCATTAAATCCCAAAGGCCTAATCTCAGTTTTTATGTTGTAGTGTTACTTTCATACCCAGAATGATTTAAGTTCTGCCATCCTCAAAACCAACCATGGTTAAGCATTTTCTCTGTGCTAGGAAGCTGAATAGAATTATCTTTCGGTTTTTTTTTTTTTTTTTAGAAGTACTTGGAAAGATCTCAAGGATGTTTTACATAAAATTTGTACAGAGGTCTTCTTTATTTACATTGTTATATCATCATTTTGTATGAGAGAAAATAAAACAAAGCATATTTGATTAACCTTTTTCTCAAAGAGTAGAAGGAAAACTAACTTTAACCCATTTATGATTCAGGGGAATGTATTAGCCAGTCTTTTTTTCAGAGAAACAATCAATAAGAGATACATATGAAGAGATTGTTAAGGCTTGGTGATTCCAAAATCTGCAGAAGGGGATGGCCGGCTGGAGACCCAGGAAAGCCAGGGATTCAGATGAAGTCCAAAGGCAGTCTGCTGGAGAATTCCCTCATGCTTGGGGAGGCTGGTCTTTTTGTTCTGTTCAGGCCTTCAGCTGATTGAATGGGGCCCACTCACATTATGGAGGGCAATCTACTTTACCCAGAGTTCATCAGTTTAAAAGTTAATCTCAGCCAAAACCAACCTCCAAGTTGGCACATTAAATATCATAGAGAATCTTTTAATATTGCTGAAATTTATATTTTCCTGCTGAGTTGTTCTTCAGGACTGTCCTTAGACCTAAGGAGGGCCCTGCTTTGGGTCCTTCCTTTTAGAGGGTCCTGCTTTGGCCCTCATCCAATCACATCCCTCCTCACAGGGCAAGACCGAGGGACCAAAGTTGTGCATTCACCAGGAGCCCAAGCCCCCATTCTAGGCCACCTTTTAGTTACTCAAGTCCCTGGATAGCTGCAAGCCTGTTTCCAGGGCCTACGTGGGCATCTCCCCCCAAGTGTACGTTCGTGACTGTGTGGACTCCGCTCACCATTACTTCTACAGGGGCCTGTGGGTGGCTGTTAGGAGGCAGGGGATACCTAGATGTGTGAGCTACCCTTGTGCACGTGAGGCCCTCAACACAGAATGGAGCCTGGGGTAGCAGAAGCGGGGTGGGATGAAGGCCATGTGCCTCTTTTCCGTACTTTGCCATGTTCAGGCAGTCTCTAAGGTGTCCAGAATGCTAAACGAGAGCTTCCAAGCCAGTGCAAAGGTATATTTATCAAGATAGTAGGATGCAACAGTTTTTATAGTCACTTTGTTAGCTTGATTTATAACCTTTAAATACTCAGGTGTATGATATATGGGTCTCCATTTGTACATTTGCCCCAGACCTCAAATATCAGAGGCAGATCTTTCCCACTAAGGCTGAGCAAATTCAGAGAATTAGAAGTTGATTATTAAATTTGAAATCTGAAAAGTGTGTTATAAAATCAGGGTGGTGGTTATACCTCAGGGAGAAGAGGTTATGATTGGGGAAGTGCCTGGCATGTTCCATTTCTCGACTTGGGTGTTGGTTACATAGATGCTTATTCTGGTTATCTTGGGCTTTGTGCATTCTCTGTGGAGAATGGATCTCTCTTTAAATTTCTTTTTAAACCTTTAAAAATGTATTATTCTTAATTAGGAAAAAATCTTATATCTCAGAAAAACTTTTCAATCTTGTCTACCACAGGTTATGTCTGTTCTAGGAATCTTGGCCCAGTCATCAAAATAGAAAAATTAATTTAAACACTTTAGAAGACAGCTAAATACATTATATAATGTCTCTCTGTGTGTTGTACCTACGTCCATGTGTGTGCATGTATCTATGAATATGTGTTTTGGATTTTTGTTCTCAAGGTCTCAGCCAAAGAAGAAACTGAAAGAAAACCCCTCTCCTCTCTTCACATTCTCAGTAGTTCCCATGGGTTAATGACAGAAAATTTTTTCAAGAATGTTTTTTTTCTTATTTGACTCTTAAGTCTGTGGTTTGTTTATCTGAAAGAACAGGCAATAACAATAAAAGGCAAAGAGGAGTATTCCCTTTGTTCTATAATTTCATGTTAAAAGAAAACCATTCTGGATATAGTTTCCACATCTAAACGTTCATTATAACAGAGACTCTATTCTTATCTTTCAGGTGTCATTTTCACTGAATAAAGGAAGTAATGAAGAAGGTATGGTATATGCTGGTTCTTGAGGAGCTAGATATGTAAATGTATTCATTTACAGTAGTGGAGACCCCAAAAAATGCAATAGATTAATTTAAAAATTATATAAACTAAGTAAAGTACTTTTTTAGTCATTATAATTTTCAGATGAAATCAATTATTTCCTAATTTCAGAAAATAAGGAACATGTTTATTACTTTTAGGCTAGAAAGTAGTTTGATTGTGCAGTGACGGTTGGTGAAGTACTGAGGTTCCAGCTAGTCCTGATAAATTTTAAGCCTCCAAATGTCTGCATTTAGGAGACTTTATTTATTATCTATCATCATTTTAATGAATCACTCATTTTAACTAAAGATCTTAAAATCAAAATTTATAGTAGGATTAAAAATAGCATTTTTTTAAATTACCATTATTTGAAGCTGTTTTGAGAAACAAGTAAAAATGTTCTGTAGTAAAAATTTCAAAATACAAGCATGTGCGTGTATCATTTGCCTTTTAAAATATTGCAAGGCTTTTTTGCCTTTTTGTTTTAATATGAAACTTTAGAAGAATATTCAACTTGCAAGTTTGGAGGAAAAATGAGAACTATTTACTATGAATCGAGTTGTAAGATGTTTAGAAAGGAGCAAATGTATAGACGTGATTTTGTGGGAAAGCAAACGATATTCCTTATATGGGAAACTAACAGATTGTTTCTTTGCAATACTATCCCATTTGGGGTATTTGACAGACAGTCAGATTTTACAGTACAGGGTTTTCCTAGACCTTTCATGCCGTAGCTAGGACACTAGCTTCAGTACTATTCGATAAAGACTAAAGTGACCCAGTAAGATGTAGGAAATAAGGTGGGAAGGCTCTAGAATATAAGACCTTAGCCAAATGAGAGAACTTAGGCTGAGAGTTTAAAGGTGAGTGGCTTTAAATATAGAAATGTGTCATACTGAGTTCTGATTGTTTTTATCTGCCTAAATCTTTCCGAAAGGTCTAAATTAAATTTGTCTTATCCTCCTTTCCTCCCCACCTCCCTCTCCACCCCTTCCCTAACACCCTGCTTCCCCCATTTTTAAACACAGATCAAGTATGGCACTTCCTTGGCAAGTGATGAGAACATTTGAAGTTCTGCCATCAGGATTCCAGTCTCTAAAAACTCCAAGACTCCATCTCCCCCAAGTGCTAGAAACAAGCAGATCTATGAGAATTTGCTAACTTCCTTTTGAAACTTCTTTTTTTTTTTTTCAAACTTTTTGAGATATGCAAAGTGTAAATAAACATTGAAATTTTTGAATTAGTCTCCTTTGGATATTTATTGATGTGGAAAGATGTTGTTGAATTTCATAGCAAAAATTTAGAAGCATTGAGTTTCACCAGTTGCAATTTGCATGCCTGAAGGAACCCAATGATTTTATTAACTTTTTTTTTTTTTTTTTTTTTGCGGTAGCGGGGCCTTTTCCTTTTTTGGCCTCTCCTGTTGCGGAGCACAGGCTCCAGACGCACAGG